AAAGCTCTCTTCAACTACGGTGACATACGCGTTAGAACGGCGGAGTGGGAACCTTCAATTATCATGTGCGGCAATCACTGCCGAGGTGCTGCCAAAATGGAAAAGGGGGCATTCAATGACGTGTATCCCAACACAGGCAAAGGCTGTAGGAGCCAGGCAGGCTTTCGACACGACTAACCGAGAGATCATCGACCGGCTGTGCCCGAGCCTGGACACGGATCGTGGTCCCGCGAAGCTCGCTCTCTGCTTTCTCACTCAACGTGTTTGACCTTCTTGACAGCTAGAACCTGTCTCGATCTCTCGGTGAGTCATGGCGAGTACATTCGTCGTGTCGTACGGCATATGCGAAACGATCAACGATGGAATCACCGAAGTCAACGAGTTTCATCACGCGCTACGACGTTAGCCCATCTGTAGATCGTTGATTTGACAAGAAACTCGCTCGTACCAAGCTCCATCAGGCCGAAGCTGCTTCTCAAGGGGCTGCGGCGAAGCTTTTGAAGATGGAGATAGAGATAGAGATAGAGATACGAAGTACCGCATGGAGTATTAGACAGTCAAAAAGCGCTGGAAGGGGTCTTAGGCGTTGGCTTTGGACCGTCTCTTATATCCGGGATAATAATCATATAAACGGCGCCGCGGAGTAAATGCTTCCGTGTGAATGAGTGATGTTGGTATTCAATGGTCCCTCCCTCTGTGATCACCTCACACTGCTATCCCAGTGAGATGCAATCGAGCCTTATACAGACAAAGGGTCTGGCTTGCTACACACAATCGACAACCCAAGCTTGCTCATTTTCAAGGCATTGCTTGAAATGCCCCTCGCAAAGTCTCCATAGTTTCTGTTCGCTCAGAGCCCCAGCCTCCTTCTTCTCGAGAATCTGGGAAGCCAGATCACTTCCATCACTACCCGAGGAGTAAACACCGTTGCCGGCCTTCCACTCGGTGTCCTCGACTTGCGCCAGTACGGCATGCGCCAGTACGGCATGCGCCAGTACGGCAAGCTCCAGTACGGCGAAGCTGCGCAACACCTCGCTGTCATACTTAGATCGAGATGCCGAGGACAACAAGATGTCGACGGCGCGGTTGGCGAAGACAAGGTCAGCCTATAGACCTAATTATAATGCTGAGTCAGTGCAAACTTCTAGCAGCTCTGTGTGCGAATGCGAGTGCCTCATGGCGGGAGCAACGGCAGCAGCTGTTGGATTAGCTACCACATCGAGGCCAGCTTCGCTAAGTGCCTTCGAACATGTCTCCATACCCGTTTTCAGCTCGGCTTGAAGTATTTAGCAAAGCTTCCATCAATCCGACGGGTGCAACTGTGCGGCCGACCTTGAAATTGTAGAGCGTTCGCTACCGCCTGTGTCTGTTATGAACATCTCGCTGGAGGTATCAGATCGATCTTATTCAGAGTGCGGAATGCCAGGATGTCTGCTTAGCAATGAAGACATTGCCATTTGGCTCCCAACCCCCTGTATCGTAGAAATAATGTCGACTGAGACGTATATTTGGAAGACACAGCGGGCTGGGAATCGTGTCGTGTGTACTAGGACTGACAGGGTTTCGGAAAGAAGAGATGACTGGTGTAAGGTTCCCCTTGAGATTCACAGGAAACCCAGAAAAGAAATGTGAAAGAAATCTGGCAGCCACGCAGTATCATCCTTAATACCATTGACTCTCGTCATCTGATGAAGCCACTCGCCCTCCTTCATTGATCATGGTACCCAGGTCAAAGTGATCTGTCAGAACTATAGCGACACTTTTGACAGCATCAGCTAGCTTACCTCTTCGTATGGTCTGCGTCTCGGGTTTGGACGACGGCGTCCGGGTCAAGACATCAATTCACTCAGACATCACATGAGTCTGTTACACCAGCAGCAGCCGGTGTTTTTATAGTCATCCTTCCACCCGACTGAGCTCTGTCCTTGCTTCCTTCGGAATAGTACATGACGCCCCCAGCAACACTATCGCATCGCACAAGATTTGGTCCAGCACTATCAGATTCAATAGGCTCAGCGACCTCAAGTTGAAGAATTTACCAGTCTAGTACCTCGTCAATGACCCAATAAACTGACACTGGATTCTATATTTGATCAGTATCAGCTTATTGACAGCCAAAACTTGATTCCCATGGGTATACAATGATATTGGAGCTTTTATGGGCCATGGAAGGAAGGTCTTGAGCGTCCGAACTATTCTATCAAGATAGCCAGGGCAGAGAAGAGAAGGATACACACCCATACACCCGACGACGAAAGCAACCCGTCACTCATTAAGAACTACGCCGGGTCACCAAAGCCTTGTCCCTCCAGTCGGGGACCCCAATTTGAGAGACCCCGAGGCAGCCATCATTAAGGGTCTTGGAAAGACTACCATTATGGTGAATTGCGCCAGCAACGAAGGCAATGGGAATGGCACCTCAGAGCGCGTTCCACGACGCAGATCTCTGCCAGGAGTTCGCCGCGGAGGGGTGACTTTGACAAGCCCCCAGCCGCCAGACCGCCGGCCACCACGGAAAGATCCATTCAACAACGCCTCATCCCGGCAGATCTATCGCCAGACCGAGAGCTGGCCATAGAGAAGACGGAAGTTCAGTACACCACACGACCTCCTTCCGCCAGAAGTCTACTGCAGAAGAGTCACTTCGATAAGCTTCTTTCTGCCGGAATACCCTGGGGGAATCGCTCCTTCAACAAGTCCCTCAGCCCACCAGACCGCTGGTTCAGGCCGCTGGCAGCTTGAGAGATGTTCCAATACATCTCATTCGACTTCCTTCCGCCAGAATCTCGCAGCGGAAGGATCTCACCCTTCTAACTCACTGTTGAGATCAAACAGCCAGCAACCGCTCTGATCTCCAACTTCCACCATACCAGTCAGATGCCAGATTCCTTCTCGGGCAACCGCACGGGGTTGGACGAAGATCCTGCCCACTGCGAACCTCTTCCGTTTGCTACGTGCGTGTGGTCAGCTCAGATCTTCGATTCTTCTCCGCCTTTGTGGCTCCTCGACAAACGTAACAAACAAGTACGGCAAGTGGCTCGACAAACATAAAAGTGCCGGATTTTCCGTCAGTATGGCCGGCCACTTCCACTTGCTCACTTGCTCACTTGCTCACTTGCTCACTTGCTCACTTGCTCACTTGCTCACTTGCTCACTTGCTCACTTGCTCACTTGCTCACTTGCTCACTTGCTCACTTGCTCACTTGCTCACTTGCTCCAGTCACTTTCATCTCCGGTCAGTTCGACGGCAATCTCCTCCTTCAGCCAGTTCGATGGCAAGTTACCTCCTACAGCCAACTCGGCGGTGAGTCGCCTCGTTCTACCGTTCAACAAGCAAGAGTCAATTCACCCGCGTGTTAAGATAGCAGCATAATACAGGCAGCAAGTCGCCCAACAAATGTTTACGCCTCTCGGGCGTCGGCTTAAAGAGAGACGCACTTGTTCGGGGCATAGTCAACCCGATGAAAAGCTCTTTCTCATATACGCTAGATTCGTCGATTTCTGGGGAGCTTGGACAGTAGAATTACAAGTATCGAAGCCGCATTACGTGCTATAGGCGCTCGAATGAGCAAGCAATCAGATCGCTATTTTCAGCGCAAACACCAGACCCTTTGATGAGGAGTTGACCTTCGAGATGAGGTCAAGAGCTGCTGAAGCTTGAGGTATTGCTTCTTACCTCTACTCCTCGACGATATTGCTTCGGTTGCTACTTGCTATCAACAGAATTACTGTTCAGACGCGAATTTCTGCGACGAGGAGTAGTTTCTGCTTAGTCAGGGAGCAACTGGGGGAACCTGCACGGGGGAAGTTGTATTTCTCCATCCAGAGAATCCGGCAGATGGTGCAGTAAAGTGATGGTTACTGGATGGCAATGATGTGCAACGGGACGATCACAATTGTAGCTCGTTGACAACTCACAGACTCAAGCGATGCCAGTTGATCTTCATTCAATCTATGGCGGGTTGTAACAAGTAAAGACACTGCGATGTCCATGCTGCCATCTAGGATTATTCTAGGGCAGCACAAAGCAAGTCGTCACCCTGACGACAAATCGGCTCTACGACGGGCTCAGGTTAGACATTCTCAAGATTGCATTGTGGGGTAGATCAGGAGATCATCGTTAGGCCTGTCAATCAATGTCACAAGATAGCGACAATCAGCGCTCTTACGGCTTGAGTAGCTCTAGTCAACAGGCAAATAGGACAAGTCGACGATGTGCGGAATAGCTACCACGAAGTCCAGTACCAGTTCAACAAAGGAAGCATCCCCGGGGCGGTCCATTGGCCTCAACTAGGTCTCGAGCAAGAGAATATTTGCGACCAAGAGACAGTGCTCGCATGCTACTCGAGGAATCTAGGGATAGGCTTCCGGGGTCCAGATGAGCTCTAAGTGCAGCATCCGGGTTTGCCGTCGTTTCGAATGCTCTGAAACGAGCTACTCATACTTGTATGTAGGCACATGAGGGAGATCTTGAACAATTCAGGCTTTCCCAGACTTCAAATCTGATAGACATGACAGCCTCACGAGGCGATTGTCATGTGGTCATTCATTACCATTTTCCAACAGCCAACTGCGGTGAGCTCTCTGAAGACGATAAATTCAATGTTAGCATCATTGTTTGCTGAAAACACGATCAAAGGTGCCGCCGCAAGACCACTGGTCGTTGGACTGTTCCCTCACAGGCCCTTCAAGAGCCAGCCTCGTGACATGGCCAATCGGCGCAAGTGGTCCAATATCGCGGCACGAAACCATTCACAAAGAAGGCTTTACAATCGCTTCAGCATTTAGAGACACTGCACCAGCAGTTATTCCAGTCGTCGCCCTTTGGGCCGAGGGTTGCCCGACGACTGACAGGCATACGAGATGATTAGGTAAGCCACGTCTATGACCTTCCTGACGCGACTCTGCGCGTCTCATCACGTGATATCGCGTTGAGCACACGGGTCCAGCGGCAGGACAACGGCAGCGGTGACGCGCTGGCGTCAGCTACCCCGCGCAACCACTGCCGTCCACGAAGGTGAGTAAATAACTGTCACTAGGATAGGTTTCCCATCCCGTAAACCACCCCACTTCACTCTTCCTATGCAATGTCGCTTGTCGTCGTTTATAGCACCCTCAACGATGGCATTATCAAGACTGTATTCTCGTACTTGTGACTCAACAAGAATTTATTTTCATCCATTATCAATATTCTTCAATGTTGCGTCCCGCCGCCGAAGCGTCCGTCAGCGAGTGCAGAAACTCATCATGGAAACAACTTCCGCTTCGAAGTAGCGATCCCGTCCAAGAAATTCGATCCTAGCGCATATGTAGAGGTGCCCGATCAATCCGCTCCACAGCCAGCTACCGTCAACCCATCCGACGTCACGAGAGTTGTCAACGTCATATCCATGAGTTACAAGGTATGCCTCTTCCATCCTAGAGCAACCTTTCTCGAGACCTTACCAATTGCTGACTGCTTCGCCGCAGGCCGACATTGATGCTGCCACGGAATCCTTACTTAAAGGACAGACAGTCGAGAGGTGGCACTACTATGAAGCCCCGGCCCGAGACGACATTGGAGAGGTCCCGTCTGTCGAGCAAGTCATGAACATACTGGAGAATTTCAGGTTTTGCTCCGATGAGGGCTACTGCGAAGCTTCGTGGAATCAATTCATTTACGGCAAATTGTTGCGGCTGGCGGTGCCATTGCTATGCCGAGGGTCTGAGGGAACAGTGTCATACATACCGTGGTGAGTACATCTGAGGACAAGCACTTCTGCCAACAACAGGGGGCTCAGTGACACGAGTTTCTGTCCATCCCGACTAATGCAAAACAGCCCGACCACTAAGATCATCGATTACTATGTTGACACCAGAGGATCCTCCCGCAAGATCGACTATTACATGCTCATCAACCCCGAGGCGCCATACGCGAGCGCAATTCAGGAACTCCGGTATTAGGATAACCTGTCTCTCAGTCTATCACACCGGCTACCAGCTCTTGTGCCGAAGACCCATCGACTGAGCATCGACACCAAGGGTCCCGACGAAGAGCTCATCGATGCCAAGACACAACTTTTGATCCGGCCAGGGGTTCAGTGGGATATCCTCGAACGGCTTGCCAATCACAACGAAGCCCCCCGGCCTCTACCAGACTTCATAGCCGGCGTTACAGCTGAGGGTCACAAGTGGTATATCGTAGCCAGCACTCGCAATGGCACCGAAACGGTACGTTACGTCTCGGGCCGTGTCATGCCTTGGTCAGACACATGTGGGCTAATTTGCGGTAGATATTTTAGGTGAGCCAAGAGTTGGGCACAACCGAGGAAGCCATCGGCGTCTGCTCCATTGTGTGCCTATTGCAGTACATGGCACAATGGGCACGTATGGTATCCTGGTCTACCTTTCCGCGATATTTCATCCCGCCACAAACGTTGTTTGCCGCAAGACGACAATCAGGGCGTAAAGTCATTATGCGCTTGGCGGAGGAAGGCCTGCCGCTACTCTAGGACTTGATAGACATTACCATAGATGGAATTCGAGGCATCGCCGTTATAGCTTTGGGTCGGGCAGCCTTTGAACATCGTTCGTGTCATAGTGAATACGTCTGCATTGATTGCTTAGGTAGACTTAGATGCGGGTGAGATAGAGCGAGAGCTAGACTGTCGTGATGGAGGGATTACCGGTCATTTATGCGAGCCTTTGCGCCTCTTGTCCAATCGGTCACCACACGAGAACGTGCTAAGCAGGAGCCGGTTCTCGTGCTGTGTCCTCGGGAAATGCGGCGGGTCTGATAGATGCACTCGTGGTGCGTATTGTCTGGTTGTTGTTTGGGTATATGATGAATGAGCTTGACGAGAGATATAGAAACATGTCGCTGAATGAGATGCCCGGTGCGCTTTCTCTCTTCTCTTCGGCTGTGGGAATTGGATGATGGAGTTGAAGTGGGAGTATCACTTGAGTCGCTTGTTGATGTCGGCGCACCTGACTTGGGAGCTTGGATCTAGGTGCTTGGTCTACCTTACCTGACCTTGCGGAAGTTCCATTTGTACCTTGAGGCATCGCGAGCTTCGATAAGATGGCTAAGGTACTGACAACCTTGCCCGACGGTTTCCGGGCAAGCTTACCATTCTAGGCACCTTGGGCTGCCTGCGCGGCCTTGGGCAGAGTGCCTTTGTAAGGTGCTCCAAACTTCCACCTGGGCAGTTTGATGAGATACCTTATGGATAAGAATGCTTATCCGATGCACTGCCAACCCGGAAATCTAAAGGCACCTCCGCTCACTGATTGCCGCCGTTCATATCAGGTTTGATCCTTGCTCGGACAGGCTCCAGGCAAAGATGAATCCAAGAATCTAGGGACATAGCGGGCGACATGATTGTGCATTGTCTATTGATGAGACAACAAGCAGAGTTTAACCACTTGACTGCTCCCAACACCTTAGCAGGTACCTACACGAGAAGAGGGCGCTCTCAATAGAGGTCCTTTCCATTGCTGCTCAATGGGGGTATGTCCGTAGGGGACCAGTCTGCTGGTTGAGTGACCCATCGTCTTTCAGGCGGACGCTCTGAATGCCAAAGTGCCCCTTTTCCCCTCGTTGACTGTTCTTGATAATGCCCCGATTCCCCCGGGCCTTGAGATCTCTCCCTATTGGAATTTCTGGTCTACGGTATTCAAGGCAATCCGCCCTACTAGCATAGCTTGCCAAGATATGAGGGGAAGGGGCGCACTTGCCGTCAAGCCAATATCAACACTGCATTGTGAACACGGGGTGGTATCTATCTTGGGCCACTACCCAATTAAGCGATCTTCTAAGCGAATTCAGCCAGCAGAAAGAACGACCTCTGCCGTACGCCCCTCCTCCAGGTCTTTGGGGGTCTACGCAGCGTTAGGTAAGGTACGTTCCTTATGCCTAGGCATCTTACCCAGGTAGTAAGATAAGTATTCCGCCGTGCCCGCGACTCCCTTGTTACTCGGCCAACCGCCCCCAATCCATCCGTCTACATCATCAAATCAATCGCATCGGCTAAACCCAAACCAATCGACGCGCATACTGTCATACTGTCGTCAATCATGTGGGAGTCAATCGCTTCTTGGATACAGACGCTCCCCGGCGCCTGCCCTCACAACCTTGACTGCGATTGCGATCGTGACTGCGACCGCGCCTCGAATCCCGAACTTCCTCAAAACTCTCCAAAATCCTCACCGGCAAAGTCATTTACTATGTATAATGACACCGAAACCATGGTCGACAGCTCCGATACCATGAGCTATCGCTCGGGGACCATATTTGAATGTTCCGACTCGGTGTCCAGAAGAAAAACGCCGTCTGCTCGGATTGAGCTTGTGAAGCTTCCATTGGGAAACGAAGGCACTATCAAGCGACATTTCTCTGGCTCTTCCACCAGCCCGGAATCTCTCTCCGTTCGAGACCTTGAGGTACGAGTTTGATCTGAACGACAGCGTGTTCGTCTTAGATTCAGCTTAAGGTGACCTTCAGTCATGATTCTTTCGGCATCTAATTTGCTCCATGTCTAACTTCTCTCGCTCTGTTAGTCCCACTGCTCCCATTATCAAGGACTACGTGCCTCGAGATACACCGCACGATCAAATCGACTTTTACATCTACCTTAACCCGACAGCCGACGCACAAGCAAGGTCGTGACTTTGTGACAAATACTACCCAACATGAGTCTGAATCATGAATTCTACGGTACCCTTTGCCAGACCCGCTCTTCGGCAGTCTAAATAAAGACTGAGAGACCTGGCCATGACTTGGATGGGGCTGTGTTGCAAATTGGCGTCTGGAAGGTGGCGCATTGTAAAATGCTCCGTTGCGAGCTCCGGAGCGGCTCATGAAAAAGAATGTCTGTCTCTCCTACAGTAGATGATGTCGACCGGAATGTCCAGCCAGATGAACTGGCCTTGGTTCGAAAAACAGACCTGCACGTCTGATTAGTTTATTGCAGCACTTCAAGATACATAGAACCAATGCGTCGTGTTTTGCAGCATTGTTGATTTCTTCAGAACCCCAAGTCCGGCATACCTGTGCCCTAATGCTGTCTGCGATGCCAAGGCTTCAATGAACGCGCAATGCAATGGTGGCGACAACCTACAAGGAGCTGGCTTTCTGAATAGCATCCCACACGCGTCAAGATTTGACCCGTATGAGTTTCAAACCATCTGGTCTTGCTTGCGGCCTTGGAATGTCCACGATGGTTATCCGTATCGGATTGTAGCCAAAACCAGTATACATTGGTGATGAAATGTGCTCGTAGTATCACGTCGTGAGCCAGTGTGGTCGGATTCCAATTGTCAGATTGGCCAGCCACACGCGGCGGGTCTGGGTGGGCTCAAGCCACCTTACTAAGCGCGGCGAGCTCACCCCTGAGCGCGAATCGCGGAGCAGTATTCTTACCACAGTACGAAGTAAAAGGTCTATGGATATATATTAATTAAGGGTTTAATTGGCTCTATATAGTAGTTAACCGCCATTACGAGTTACTAGGTCCAAACAACATTCTTATTTATTACTATTCGTTATTAATATTATTAATTTAATTTATAATATTATATAACTATTTAGCCCCCCGATAGAGTAATTTATTAATATTACGAAAAGGAACTCGAAATAAGTTAGAACGCTACTATATTAACTTAATAAACATAACTTAATATAAAAAAAAAAAGTAAATTAGTAAGCAAAATTTAGAGCGCTAGGCTTTTAAACTTAGTAATTGAGTAATTATATAACTTATAAAAGGTCCGCTTAGTATTTAAAACCTGGGTATATAGGGGCTTAATACTTAGTATTATAATATTACTCCCCCCTTTTAGTATAAGAGGCGCTATTTATAATACTTAATTCTATCTAAATTTTTATAATTATTTTTTATAAGTTATTAAAATTTAACTAATTATTTATTATTTTTTTATTTTATTATTTATTAGCGAGGGTTAGTATTTAACTTTTTAAGCGTTAATAAAATAAAAGTTAGTATTAATACGGCTTTAGTTTATTAAATATTAAATAATAAAACTATTATAAATTAAAGCTTATTTTTAAAAGTCTATTATAAACTTTATAAAGTATTAATAATCTAAGTATTATTATTAATATCCTTTATATTATTATTATAAACGAAGAGGTACTAGCTTTAATATATATTTTTAATTATTATTATAACTTAGGTATATTAGTTTTTATTATACCCCTTTAATTATTATCCTCTAGATCCTCTTTTTAACTTAGTTTTTAAATAGGGTACTAAATAGTATAATTTTATAATTATTAATAATTAAAGCCTATAAAAAGTAATAAGGATATTATAGTTATTAATATTAACTAAGTAGTTATAATACGAATTACGGATCTTATTATTAGTAAAGGATACTTTTAGTAATAAATATAGGGCTTTTATTATATTAAAGGGCTTAGAGGTAGTTAGTTATATTTAATATTAATAATAACGGATTAAAGTATACTACCGTAGTAGCTATTTTATTAATTATTAAAAATAAATTTTTTTATTAATTCTGGGACTAATCGAATTATTAATAGAATATATAATAATATAGAGTAAAAATTAGTTTTTAAATAGTAGTTTTAAATTTATTAGTAATAGCTTTTTAAAGAGATTATAAAAGAAAAAATTTAGTAAGTTCTTTTAGGTATTTATTAATAAATTTATTATTATAAGGGTTATTATAGTATTATTATTAGCTTATAATAGGTTAGCTATTACTAGCCGCTACTTTTATTTATAATAAGAGGTTTTATAATAATTTTATAGTTATAAAGTATTATTTATAAAAGCTTATAGCGCTACTAATATATAATAAAAGTTTTTAATATTATATTATATTAAGTTATTATTATATCTTTTAATTAGCTTAGTATTATAATTTATTATATTATATTTATAATTATAGTAATTATAAGATTTTATATTCAGGCTTATTAGTATTATAATAGATTAGTAATGGGGGTCTTAGTAATATTTAAATAAGAAATCTTTTATAACTATTTAAAGTTTATTTAAGTAGAAAACTAAGTAGGCTTTGCTCTTTATAAATAGTTTTATAATTTATATTCTATTTAAGTTAGTACTTATAATAAACTAAGAGCTAGTTTAGGGCTATTATAATTTATTAACGTTATTAATTTTTAATAGGATATATTTATAAATATTTTATTATTAATTTTAAGTTATTAAGCTATTAATAATAGTTAGTATATTTTAATATCTTATTTAAGCGACTTTTATATTACTTTTAATAATTTTTAGGCCTTATAAATACCTTAAACTATTTATTAAGTTTTTATATAGTTAAGTTTTTTTAGTTAAATTAAAATATTAAGTTTTAATAACTTAGTTAAAAATAATTAAGGTTAGTAACTAAATTTAACTTTAAATAATAATAACTCCGTAATTTTACTAAGTTAAGCTATATAAATAAAATTTATTATAAATAGTATATTACTCTAATTATTTTAATAATAATTAACTAAGAG